GAGTAGGCGTCTCCCATCCGGTTGTAACCTGGAGGAGCCGTTGGGGAAATGTTCGACTATAGAACGCATGAAGACTGGGTCCGACGAGAAAATGAATCCTGCTCACATGCCTCATCTCAGTCTGTGCCTTCACACACACTGGGGGGGATGACTGTAGGGTTACTTTAGAGATCAGTGCATTGGATTCCTATTTAAAAGGCAGTTTGCTTCAGCTTGCCGCTGAAGAGTGAGGAAACCTTTAGACAATGAGCGTGAAATTACACAAAAAAGGTCTTAGAACAAACTCCAAAAAACACTGCTGGAGAAAAAACACATTCTTTACGTTTTATGTTTTGTAGTAATAAGCGAATGTCATGGTGTCATTTGATGACACGCGGAGTTTAAAAGCAAAGTATCAACATAAATACTCAATATTTCCCTTTTTTCATTCATTCTAATTATTGATGATATTTTAATCAGTCACATATATTATTTTTAGCATTTGAATACATGCTACTTTTGTGTATTAATACACGGTAACTTTCTGTAAGGTGATACATGATAAGGTAGATATGATCGCCGACTGATTAACTGTATAGTTAACTCGTATATAAAGACCATAGTAAAGAACAAATAAGTAGCTCTTATTTTGAAGGGCAACAACAAGAACGACGCAATGCGCGATGGACGCCACCAGGTGGCATTTGTGTCGCACTGTGACAGAAGGAAGGAGCCAGAAGATGTCGTTGGGGGGAGGGAGGGAGGGAGGGAGGATTATGGGCTTACCCTTCTTGGGCGAGCTCTGGGGGGAGGTGGGAGGGGAGGAGAGCTGGGAGGAGGCGTTGGACACGGTGTCCTCTGGCTGCCTGCGGTGCCTTTCGTTCTCCTCCTCTGACAGAGACAGGATCTTCTTCAGAGAATGAGGGGAGCTGGTGCCTGTGGGCATTTACAAGACGATGAGCTAAATTAGCATGAAGAACACTGCCGCCCCCCCCCCCCCTCCCCCAGGGGGGAGGGAGAACAGACAGCATTGTCTGGGATAAATAAAATAAAAAAGGCTTTGTTGTCAGACGGCCGCTAGGTGGCAGCGCTGTCGTAGACACACATCAGAACGACAATGAATCTGAAACCCATTTGTGTACCAAAAAATAACAATTGCGGGGAAACCTTTGAATAAAACGCCATTATCCTCTCGATCTTACCGAAAGGTGGCAGATCCTTGACCGGCACTTTCTTTCGCGATGGGTAAAGGGCGACGGCCGGGACCTGGAGGGCCTGGTTTCCTTTGGCCAGCTGGCCCCTCTGCTGGGTGGCCGCTCTGGACACGACGGGGGACGTATCAGGACGTTTCCCGCCGGCGTTCTTGGGCACTGGGTAGCGAGGGAGCGAGAGATTTTAGTCGGCGCACGTCTGACTAGAGACACTCAAGGACAAATATGAAGAATTCTCTAACCGAGCCCAAGCGGGCCCGACTCGTGCCCCCCGACCCCACTCACGCGTGCTGATGGAGGGTTCACACTGCATGGAGAGCGTCTGCAGACTCTCCTCGTTGGACTCCAGGCTCAGGTGGGACAGGTACTGTTTGACCTTCCTGGCCATCTGGGCGTCCTCGTAAAGCTTCTTGGCGTTGAGGAAGGAGCTGCGTCGCACCCTCTTCTTGTGCCCGCCGGTCTGCGTGACGTCGAGCACCGCCGCGTTAGCGCTGCCCTGGCTGAGGGGACCTGCTCGCGCACACGGGACGGAGGAGGGGCGGATACGCGGACAAACACGCCGACAAACACGCAGAGAGAGTGGAGAAGGAAGTCAGCAACGTGAGCCTCTGTGGAAGCACAACTGAGAAAAAGAGCCTGGTGCTGCAACTCGGACATGCAGAGAGCAGCTTTTGACTCCAAAACATTCCAGTCATTCCAGACGTCGCAGGGGGGGGGGGGGTGGGGGGGGTGATGGATGGCGGCTGTAGTCAAACAGGAGTTGGGACAGCGTAACAGGGCAGTAGTTTACATTTCTGTGGCTTGAGTCAGAACTCGTAGTGTAAAAGCTCGTCAGTCAGAAAGAATGCTCGCTTTTAATCACGGACATTTCATGGATTCCATTTCATGCCCTAAAGGTCTTTCTGGTTGGAATGGTGGAAATGTGCACTGTGTCGTGCCGGTGGATATTTGGTCTTTCTTTGGTCATTCCGATCAAAGAAAAAAATAAATCAAGCATCACGTTTGTGTGTGTGTGTGGTAATTATAACGCAGCACCTCATATTCCTGTGATTAAGGTCTCATCACCAGATGAGGATCTTGTAATTACATGATGGCTTTCCCGTAATTACAACACGCCAGAGTCAGAATTATTAGTTTGAAAATTTCAATCCCAATTTCTTCCCCATTGAATGACCCAGTTAGTGTTTTACTCAAAAGTATCTGCTATTTGACCACAAGAATGTAAACCATGAGAAGAAAAACCTTCATATCGAAAATCTTTGGTACGAAAACCTCAAAGGCAGGTTTGACTGAGGCCGCATGCACATCGGGAGGAAAAACAGGTCAAAAAAGGTCACATTTACTAATTCGAGCTGTAATGCAACAGCGATAATATTTGATATGTGTTGTATTTTCCGCTTAAGTTGACGTAATGTAAAAAGGGCCGGTGTGACCACGTTAGCATAAGTGACCTTTGGGGTTAGGGTCAGGCGGGGTTAGTGGGACGACTCAACTCAAACAGATTAACGGAAACAAGGTTTCAGAAAAGGAAAAAAAGAAGCACGCAAGTTGGGCCGTGTTGCAGGGAGGGCAAAAGGTCGTAGGGTCACCGAACTTACCCTAAACTTCTCCATTTCTTCTTCCTAGAGGGCGGGCGCCATGAACAGAGAAGCACGGAAAGGGCAAAGGGGGGGATGAGTAGAGGGAGACAGAGACAAAGCTTAGGACAGGAAAGACCACCAAGATCACCAAAAGAGAAGCAAATCTCACCCACGTGAAAGTCAGAGAGGAAATCAAATGGAACACCACTAAGGAGTGACATCGTTGGACAGAGACACACTTTCACAGGAGCACTGTGCACATCTTAAGCCAACAATGTGAACTAGGGAAACGGGTGCCAGAGGGAACAGCTGCTCGAGGGGGAAAAAGCGTGATGCAGAAACCGTCGGTGAATCTACGTTGAACCGGCCGACCGGTCCCACGAGGACGTTTTCCATGTGGAGTCTGGCTCGGTCTTTTGAGAGGCGCCTTACCGGGTCCTGAACATGAGGGCCGGGTCCATGTTGACGGAGGCCATGCGACCGACGTGGCGGATTTCTTTGGCAATCATCCTCAGCTTCTCAAAGTTCACCAAGCCGTCCACTTTGGAGTCGTTGCCTGAGAAATGAGGGACGACGCAAAGCGAACATGCGTTGACTCTCACATTAGGTTTTGTTACACCGTGTAAACATCAGCAATGATTGCTTCACTTTCCGGGAAAGTAAGTACAGAAGTCATCAAACTGAAGAAATGACAACGCTAACTTGTGACAGCCTGATATTTTATTTCCTCAAAAGAAGATAAGCAAAGCGTAGCAGCATTAACTGCCTCCTAATGGATGCAATTAGATATAGCGAAGATATTATTTCGTTTTTATGTACTTTCCCTTCCAAATGCAAAAGAGTCAGTGCTAACGAATTCTGGGTGACATCATTTAACATAAACGGGCAAAAATCTGTGTGACCGTCTCGCTCAACTTCAGGGCACCTCTTTTTATAATCCCCCAGCACAAACGGACCTCATCAGACGTGGGGCCGTTTCTAAATCATCCCGTACCTTCATGGAGGAAGGTGAGGTCCTTCTTGATGACGGGGAACAGGGGGATGATCGGGGGCTGCAGGTTCTGATTGTTGAGCACGTTCCTGTACTTGGCCATATTTCTGGAAGGGTCGAAGAGGTCCTGCAGGTCCCCGAACAGCTTCTCGTACTTGCTGGGTAGCTTCTCCCACGTTCCCCTCAGCCTGGAGACTGGAGCCAGATTCAGACCACTAGGAGGAGGAGGAGGAGGAGGAGGACACGTGTGAAACATGGCACGTGTGGGGAAAAAGTGTCCCGAGGCGCGCCGAGGCGTTCCGCCATTTGCCCTCACCTGATGATGGCGAACATGGAGTTGAAGTTCTTGCACTCGCGGCAGTGCAGTGCGATCTTGATGAAGTGCTTGACGGTCTTCATGCGCTTGATCTGGTTGGGCTCCCGCGTCACCTCCGTGGCCACCCAGAAGGTCTCGTCGTTGATGGCCTCCTCGAAGCGCTTGAGGCTGGCCGAGCCGGCCTTGGAGCGGTGCTTGAACAGGTCGTCGATGTACTCGGTGGGCTCGATGGCGCAGAAGAGTTCGAAGGCCCGCATGGAGAGCTGCGTGGCCACCTCCACCGTGCTGAGCTGCAACAAGGAGATCTGGCCCTCGCGCAGGAGGTCCTGGGCGTCGTCATCGGAACACAACGTCTCCGTCTCCATGTTGCTCTTCAAGTAGTATCTGCAGAAAGGGGAGAAGGCGCTCGGATGAGGCACAGATCACGCTGGGCTTCACTTCTCTTTGCGCCATGATTCTAAATTAAATGTTTTTTAGTGTCAGCCGGGTGACACACGGAATATGAAAGTTCCACCTCATTGTAAATGGGACTGGCTCCAATCACACTTTCTAGACTAAATAAACAATTAAGGTCACTTTGCGAATACAAAGAAACAGTAAATCGCAGCCAAATTGTATTTTTACTCGACCCTTCATTGTTTTACATAACAGTCCTGGTAGAATTGGCAGCACAATGATGTTGCAAAACATCAACATTTTAAGGAGAGGACAACAAAAAGTAGGTTTAAGGGGCAAATGACCTCCCACTCAGCTGAATCCTGTCGGCTAGTTTGGACAGCTGGTCCGGTAGCCGCCTCTGCTTGATGACGCCCTCCGGCGTGACGGACACCTCACACAGCGAATAGGCCTCCGGCGCCGCGGTCAGGGCGAACTCCCTGATGGCCTGAGCCACCACCTCCTTCGCCGTTGTGTCCTTCCCGATCATGATGTACCGAGACTGTTGGTCCGCCTTGAAGACTCGCAACACCTGATCCGACATATCTGTGGACGAGCGGAACGGAGTGAGCATTCATGGCTCTTATGGGTCTCGTCATTGCAGATAGTTTTATTTATTTTATTTGCCCTTTGTCCCCCAAGATGCACAAAGAACCATCACCAAAGCATCGCTCTGTCGCCGCCCTTAAGCGCTCATTTCCCACCATTCAACAGAAACACAACAGCACCGATTAGATCACCGTCCATTGAAACGAGAAAAAAAAAAAAAATCAATACCCACGTGCCCTCAAACTAACAATCAGCAGTCAGAGCAACGCTGTTAGCTTTACTTAATGTGAAGAATTAAAGGTACAGCAGCTGATTGAAGTCTGATTAGAGTCAAAGAGAGGAAGATACTCACTGGGTACGAGTGGCACTGGAAGAACACAAACCACACGTGGGGGACGGGAGTTAATGGAGATCGAGGCCATATGTATACCTTTGGATTATGCCTTTACTCCTACCGTTTATTTATGGTTGCGTCATTGATTTGCGGTCGGGGAACATGACGTCTTTACACAGAATGGTCGATCAATGGGATTCATGTGGCGTTTAATTCTTTCCCCCCCGAAACCGTCAATTACGCATTAATAACAAAGAGACACGAAACGCCGTCTCAATTAAGTTCATGTCGGACCTCCTAAACCAAAAACATTTACCCAATAAAATATACAATATGATTTAGGACTTTATTCAGATTGGCCCCTGAAATGAAGCGCTTGAATCACTTACTCTTAATTGAAATATGGACTTTCTAAAAGTAAGAGACGAGCCCATCGAGGGTGTCAGAAGGTTCCAACTGCTGCAAACTCTAAAACTGGCAATAAAGGTCAATAAAAGAACAAACTACGCACCCGGCTGGTTGTTGAAGTCCAGGATGCGGTGGTGAGACTGCAGGAGGTCCGGGTTGGACGACGAGAGGTTCCCACTGACGGGCAGCGCCGGCGCGATCTGTTTGGACTGCTTCATCCCCACGATGCTGTCGTCCTGCGATTGGCCCACGCAAACGTCGCTATGGGAACAAGAGGGGAGCGCAGAGGGGTGAGACAGCAGTTCTCTCCACCAAAGGCAGGGGGCGACGTTTGTTTGGGCGATGACAGCATTCTGAAAGCTGAACCTTTTCGTTGAGTTCACTGGCACCGACCAAACAACCAGACGGCTCCTACATTTACTTCTCAATGCCGATCAGAAATGGACGAGGACGAGGGTTTATTACTTGTATGGTTTCGGCGGCAGGATGCTGGTGAGCGTCTTGTCGAAGATCTTCTTCAGCTTGTTGCGTCCTCCCACCGAGTTGCTCTTGGCTTTCTTGCTGGCCTTCTCCAGGCCCATCACCTGCTCCACGTCCACCGCCAGGTCGGGGATGGAGTAGCGGCTGGCCTTCTTGATGTCGCCGATCTTCGGGAGGTGGGGAGCGCCGTTCTTCCGGTCATGTTCCTCCTCGCCGTCCGCGTCGTGGTCCTGTTCTGGCCTGGTTAGCAGCTCTTTAAACACTGGACGCCAGGAGGGAGGAGAGGGACGTTTGGAAAGTGGGAATATTGGTTTAATACACCAGTTCCCTTTTAATTCAGAGGCAGACGTTCTCATAAATAGGTTGAAACTTTACCTAAAAGGTTTGTTTTCACAGTTATGGACAAGTGGGTGTTGTTCTTCAGAATCTCGTTGGCTTTGATGAGCTGGACATTCTCAAAGTTCTGCCCATTGACCTCCAAAATCTGCGTAAAGAAACAGAACAAACATTACATGATACAGAACTTTCAAACCACCAAGTCTAAGAAGGAACGCACACGGATTAAGAGCCGAGATGCTCCACCGGACAGCCGGCAAACGGTCGGCCATATTGGATCAGTTCAAGAGCCGTGAACACAGTTAATAATCTCTGCATGACAGATTCTATCCGTTGAACAGAGGTGCAACATCTGGCGTGTTACACATCGTGACATTTAGTCCACACGTCTTTGACACCAACGAGGTCCTTGTCACAGCTCGACCTCGACGCCCGGGCCGCGTATTTGCTCGTTAATGTAATCTGCACAGCGACCTTTGCCGCTTCCTCTTTAGTGGAAGAGGAAGCGGCCTTGGAGCGTGACGAGGGCGCTTCCTCTGCCGGCGTGAAGCCCAAATGTCTCTTTTAAACTCGGCAGTGATTACCGAGACGTTGCTGGTGAGTTTAATGCGCTAATCTCTAGTGGCCCGAGGAAGGTGTGACGAGGTTTGAGAGAGTGAACGCGTCGAGGATGCCAGCTTCTCCGCTTCCTTCTCGGGGGGGAAACAGCTGCAGGGGATGTTTGGAGTCGAGAGGGCTTAACTGGCATCCCGACACTCTCAAGATGGCTTCAGGGATTAAGGGACTTTGCGTTAAACACGGAGGACTGCAGAGTGTGAAAACGGGTTGGAAGTCAAGTCGCGGGGAAAAAGTCAAGACGGGGGGCGGCTGAGCCCTGCGGCGAAGCTACTGGCAAGTTTAATTTAAGACTTTAAAAAGTCACAGCGAGTAAAGTTTCACTCTCGACAGTTGAAGAGGAAGCACAACCGTAACAATGCGTGCCGTCTGAAAGTAGAAAACGGAAGCCGCCTCACCTGGTCGCCGCGCTTAAGGCCGACCTCCGCCGCCTTGCTGCCGGGCTCCACGGCGTCGAGGAAGATGCGGAAGCCCTTCTCCTGCCCTCCGAGGAGGCTGAAGGCCAGCGGCGAGTCCCTGGACGGCTTGGTCAGCGTCACCAGCCGCGGCTTGGCTTTGGCGGCGCACGCTATGTTTAACAGTCGGAGGTGGCCGCACATTTTCTGCGGGGGAGGGAAAAAAAAACCAAGCGAACGGCGCGGACGCGAGGGAAGGGAAATAAGTCAATTTGAATGGATCCACGGACGAACCCCTCGGCGACCCGATCGACTTACTTCTTTTTCCAGATTGTTTTCAAACTCTTCCAGAAAGCGAGTCATGGCGGAGTCGCCCTCGAAGTCGTTGAAGTGATTGTTTACCCACAGCAAGACCACCCGCGTAACCTGGAGGAGATCACATGATCAGCAGGGGTCAGCGCACAGTTTCACGGCGGCCGTGGCGTGTTTGGGTGCAAAGACACGCAGCTCCTACACGCGTACCTTGTCCCTGAGACTGGGGTCGTGGAACCACTCCAGGAGCTTCTTGCCCACGACCATGGGGCTGGAGAGGAACGTCCTGTAGGTCAAGAGGAAGTCCTCGATGTAGGTGGGGTCCACCACCGAGTGCTCCTCCACCAGGTGCATGGTGAGACGCTCCGACGTGCCCTGCGGGTTAACATCGTTGGCGTTTGAAATGCAGTCTCTTTGGAGCCCTTGAGACTTTGAGGGGAAAACGTGGACGGACTCGTCACCTTGATGACGATGTGTCCTTTGCGGGTGCCGGTGCGGTCCAGTTCACGGTGCTCCTTCACCATGACGATCTCGCCCTCCTCCTCGACCTTCTGCATGTTCTTCTCCACCTGGTTGAGGATGCAGCAGTAGTCCTGCTGGGCTATGCACACAAACTGGACGAGACCGGATGAATGCAAGAGTTAGTTCGACTCACTTGGACACGCTAACATGCATTTTAAACATCAACGACAATCCTGTGAATAAAAAAAACTAAGTATTGACCTGTTGGAGACAGATTGAAAATCAAATAGACAAAAGGAAAAGCTACTAAACTACAGATCTTACATGAAAACACAGATTTCACTCATTAAGAGCAACATTTAACTCATGAGGATGAAAGTGTATTCGGTTCTTTATTCCCATTAAACACATAATATGCAATAAATGGGATGTTGCCCTCTACGATTCTCTTTGGAAAAAGGCTATTTCTCACATTTAACTTCTGCAACTTACTGTCTGCCTGCAGTCACAGTGGGAGTTAATAGGATAGAAAGTGGACCTGCTAGCCCCGAGACCATGACACTCCCACAAGAGCCCACCTGGCAGTCGTCCACCTTCGTCTTCATCACGCCCTTCATGTATTCCTTCTCCATGGTTGGTGACACGCCAAAGCTGTTCCCCATACACAGGATCTCGGTCCGGCCCTCCGGGTACGTCACTTCCACCGAACCGTTGAGGATCACCGACCACGAGTCCAGCTGCACACGGGGCCACATTAGCAATAAAACCATAACAACTTTTACAATTACATTTAAGTTCAGCCTGGAAATATTCCCAACAGCTGGTGTCCCTTAATGAGTCAAAGTTATTTATCAGAAAGAACAAACTTCAAGGGGACTGCGGCCCTAACAGATGGGTTCTCTTTTCCCCACGAGAATATTAGAGCTGCAAAGCAAAGTAAAACCAGTAAAGTAAGTAATGCATGCAAAAAAGTGCCAATTGAACCATGACTACTGGCGTTTCAGTATCGTAGAAAAACTAAACTGGTCTTCAGCGAAACCAGAGAGAACATGGAATGACTCCTCCGTTGCCTAAGGCGTCCGAGATGCAGGTTCCCCGCCATTCAGATTTAATAGAGCAGAAAAAAAAAGCATCAAATGGAGGGACGAGACGATGGTTCAGCTCCCCGAGACACAGGCGAGGTCTGCAGACCGGGCTGGCGTATGCATGAACGTGCACCAACACGCACCTCCTCTCCGTCGTTGAGAACGATGGTGCCGGCGCGTTCGACCACGGCGAAAACCATGACGGCGCAGAGTTCCCTCCTCACCGACATGGTCATGTTGGCAAACGCTGGCAGTTGATGCATGAACTCCAGTAATTGCTCTGCGAGAGAGACAGAGGGAGGAAGCGGAGGAGGTTGAGAGAGAGAGAGAAACACAAAACTCGCACCAACTCAGCGCGAAGGAGGACGCGCGGCGCCCTCAGCACGCCGCCGTCGGCCCCGGAGGCTAACGGATCGTCAACACAGAGAAAAGCTTACAGAGGAATCATCATCCGGATAACACAAAGCCCAATATCTATTCCGTCGGTATAAACCTTCGAGGCGAGCCGAGAATAACTGCTGACACTTCACTCGATGACCTCCGAGTGAGTTTAAGTGAGTTTATACAGTCGGTTCACACAGAAATGACCTCTGCGTCGAACAGAACCATTCAAACGGATGACACTGGCAAAGGATTACTTCTTTTTTTCTAAAGAATCAGAATCACTACAACAAACTAGAATACACTCATTTCATGCTCAAGAGAAGATCCCGTTCTCTCCGGCGTCTGCTTTCTGCTGACCAACACAATGAATCAGTTACTGAATAATCCAGAGATCTCGCTTGAGACGACTTCTTCACAGCACAGCTACCGGGCACCGTTGGCGAGTACGTTTCTTTGTTTTACGCAACATTCACTAATTATTATATATTTTTTCTGACCACGAGCTGAACTAAGCTCTTATAACAAAGAGGATATTTGTTTGGTTATTTTGGCGAATGGCTTTAATATTGGGTGTAAATACTTTTCATATACACTCCGGGGTGCAACACGTTCTGCAGCAGCCTTCACTGGAGGTCTAGAGTGGGAAAATACTCCTCTTTCTCTCCCTCCCCATCCGCCAGCTCCCCTCCCCTCCCCCCCCCTGCATCAGTCTGCCGTTCTGGCTGACCTGTGCTTGGCACAGCAACAGCGCCGCGTGTGAAGCTGCGGAAGCTCTGAAAGTTTAATGTGCTTGGGAGAGGTGAGGCGAGAGGATGTGCCGGAGTGACCTAGAAAAGCCTGCCGGCAAAGGGAGGGGTCTCCCGCGTGTGGGGGGGAGGGCAGGGGGGAGGATAGTTTGCATTCACTCGCGTCGCTCGTAAGGATGTGGATCCATTGTGACCGACTCGAAGGAGAAAGGAGGGAGTTTTTTTTTTTTTGTGGGACAAGGAGTACCGGCCCGGCCGGGAGCGCTGCTTTTGCTCTGCAAGCATTTCCTAAGAGAACAAACCCTCCTCCGAACCCTCGGTTCGTCCCCAACGTGTCTCCGTGTCTCACCGATGTCATCGTCGGTTCTGTCCATGGGGTCCTTCTCAAGGCAGTCGCGCACGATGTCCCGGCTCATGAGGGGGTCGGACGCTCGCTCGATGTCCTCCTCGTCGTCGTCCTCCTCCGAGTCGACGGCGGTCTCCGGCAAGCCGCTCAGGTCCATGTCGCCCGGTTCGTTTTCTGTGGCCTACGAACAGAAAACGGACGACGGGAGGAGTCGGTCACAAAGCTCGGCTAGGTGGGGGGGGGCGGGGGGGCGTAATCAGGACGCACACAGACGCACCGCTGGAATCATTCGACGGTACAAACATCGGCCGCGACACATTTTCAACCAGGAGCGAAACAAAGAAGCCTCTGTAAAGATTTGACCCATTTAATGAAATGGATCAGACGGATTCCGTATCGCATGAGTAAGACAGGCGTCAACAGCACTCTGCTGTGCATAGTAACAAGGCAATTAACTCCCGACTTCCTCCTCGGCAGAGACCGCACCGCCTGCCTGGAAGCCAGATCCTGTTCTTTGAAAGCATGAGATGAAATGAGGGGGATGAGGGAAATTAAGCGAGATGAGGAGCAAGAGAGAAACGCAAAAGGACTTGTGAAGGTTCCTCTCCAGTCACACAAACCACGTCGCCTGGTTACCGCTCGCGCAACGTGAACCGCGTGGAACGGACCCAAACCACGGCGGCGTGGGGAGAAAGAAAAGGGCCTCCGGAGGTCCAGCACCACGGCGTGGAAAATAAAAATAAAAAAACCCCTCCTCACCTCAACGTGACGGCCGGCCCGCCGCTTCCTGACGGAACGAGAAGAAAACGCCGCCTTCGCAAACGGCCCACAGAAGCCCAGAGCCAGACGCATCCTCGCCTCGCAGAATGTCCGCCTGCTCTGACAGCCTCACAGCTCAGGTCTCCCACAGAAACCCGGTGTCATCCCCCCCCCCTCAAACGCCATGTGCCAAAGGGGCCCATAAATGATTCACGCCGGTGTCTGAGTGGCGGACACGCCCTGGTGGGCGGGGGTCGCCGATCTGGTTGTACAAGTGTGGCCTTCACGGATTGAGCAAGGGGCAGTTTATTGTGATTATTTACAAATCAATAGGATGTGTAAGTGGATGCACTAAAAAGCTAGTAAGTAATACACCTGAACACGTTCTATTTCACACATGGAGGCATCGGATGACGATCCGAGAGGCAGCACGCTGCATTCCGTTGTGTGTCTTTGTTTATGTGCAGCGTGACAGCTGTGCATCAAACATCCCTCAATGTGCAGTAAGCGTCACACGTCAGGCGCTGTTAATATTTCATCGGGGCTATTCTTGGATCAATGCTTTCAAAGTTCTTCTGAAAGACCAATTTCATGATTTATTCAGACACAAAACAGTGCGGCGTGTTGCCGGTGACGTGAGAGCGATGCGGAAGCCGAGGTTAAACTCCTTTCTGCTCAGAAAAACATGGAATCTAACGGCCTTGTTTCTTTGCACCATCCGGCTGCCTTGCGGCCTCAAGTGTGCAGAAGCCGTTTATTTAGAAAAAAGCAGACACTTCGCCGGGGACCGAACGCCTCGACCTGCAGGGAGCAACGTGAGCCAACACAAGACAATTCAATACTTTTAGATTTCCATCGTTGCCAATCAGGCAGCCAGTGGAAAGTAGAAATAAACAGCATGGTTTCATTTTGATCAGAAGCTTTCGCCTGGTTGAATAGACCCAGAACGGAAATCTGTGAATTGCTTCTTCAGGTTTGACAGTTTGTCCAAAACCCAACAACAACAAAAATGACCCACTTGTTCTCCGTTAGTTGCGCATTCATTTTTCGAGCAATTTAACTAGTTGTTGACTGGCTCTGTGTTCAGGACTGCGATGAGAGGGAAGTTAACACAAGCGAAAGTAGATCACAGACGTTCGACCTGCTCCGGCCCGCCACAGCGAGGCCAAACACACACACACACACACACACACGCACGCACACACACACGCACGCACACACGCACACACACACGCACACACGGGACCAACGCGCAATTACGAATCTGCATTCAAACAACGTGATCTAATGCGTCAAGAAGACGTCCAAGAGAACACAAATTGGTTGACTGACGGCCCCTCGGCGTCGTCACAAGCCCACTTACACACACACAAATAGACACGCAGCAGGTGACAGGACGGGAGCCAATGGGGTGGGCGGCGTTTGTTAAGAGGATTAGTTCGCAGGGTCCGTCCACAGTCACGAGATTTTGTGTGTGTGTGTGTGTTCCTTTTGAGCTGAATCTTGTTTTATTTACTGCTGGTGGGGGGTTAAAATCGCTCGAGTACATTTGCATTTCCTTTTGTCAGTGTTTACAGATATTCGTTGCATACCAATAAATCAAAAAAGAGATATATATACACACATATATATATATATATGCATACATGTGAGCGAGAGAGGGAGAGAGAGCGGCTACGGTTGCTCTGTAATACTGAAGCAGGGCTACGAGCTCCTCTTCACACCCCGCCGGGCGCCACAGCTCCCTGGGAGTTCTGTACTCGTGCTTTGAGGTGACGAGAGGCAGTCGGGAAGCAGGCCGGCCCACCTGCTCGCAGCCCCCCTCCGCCGGCCGGCCTGCCTCCCGTTGAGCAAGGGACAGCGTCCCATTCGTGTCTCACGGCCACTTTGTCCGCAAAGCGTGTGCGTTCGCTCTCGAGCGTTCTTGTGCTGCTCAGTGAGAGGAGCCTGAGGTCCCCGGAGGCATATTTGAGTCTCGGCTCACTTAACGCACCCACTGAGATCAGGGGGGAAATGTTGCTATAGGTTTAAAGCAAGCCATCAAAAATCATACTATGGAACAGCTTAGCTTTTGTTAGATGAGCAGTTTGATACCACTGTCTGTAAAGTAATTATATTAGCTTAGCCTAGCTTATCGTTAACAAGGCAGCCACCTGTAAATCGCACCAATTCTAAAGCTCATGTGGTTTGTTTAATCCCTAATTAGATCTAAAAAGAAGAAGTTGTCAATCAGCTTAAGTAAACTAAGCTATATTTACTGCACAGAGAGTGGAATCGACCCACTCAACTAACTCACGAGACCAAACGAGCCCGACCGCCAACTACCACGCTGGACGGGGGAGTCTAACCGGGGGGAGTCTAACCTGGGGAGGAGGGGGGGGTCAAACCGCGCCTTACCTGATAAATGTCTGACAGGCTGCTGCTTCCAGAGTCGCTGGTGATACTACATCCTGAGTGGCTGGAGGAGACGTGGGGCCCCTGTGGGTGCAAGCCGTCGGCCAGGTGAAGTCTGCTGAAGTCCGCGGGGAGCTGCACGCACACACGCACACACACACACGCACAACATACACACAGATGGTCAGTATCGCCCCCCCGCACTGGTCACTCACGCTAACGCTCATGCCGGCTGGCGGCCATCGGCTGGATGTAAGTGGAAAGACTTCTTCGCTCTGAAGTTACTGCCTTACGGGTCGTTTCACGAACACGGGCTGAGGCAGGAAACGTTCATTCATAAGAGGGGCCACAAAAGAGTGATTGCCCCTTTGATTCCAATGGGAAAGTATTCTAAAACACTACATGCCTCAATCATCTTTATTTAGCCGTGATTAAACGCAAAAAAAAAAGTCCATTAGTCGGACCGCAAGAGCTCAACTGATTATCAAAGCAAAGAGAAGAAGGCAAGATGTTAATTAATTCATAGTGTATAAGTAACAAAGACGCGCCGTAATTAACCGAATCGCAAAAGAGCCAACCCACTCCTCCATGGAGATGACCCCGGAACGGAAAGTAGATCAGGAACGCCCTGACGGCGCTCGCAGACCCGGAAGATTAAGACGTTAAAGTGGAGCGGCGGCGCTCGTGGTTTGTTTGAAGAACATTCCGTGCTGTATGTGCAGGCGTTGGAGCTGAACCAACTCGAGGGGCGGCAGCTTCTTAAATATTTGTATAAATAACACTTTGTCTCGATTTATTATTATTATTATTATAAATTCAACATTTTGGGGATTTGCACGATTAAAAACAAGGCATTGGCCAATTTCAGTATTAGTTAACGGAAAACATCATGAGCTAAAGTACATATTACCGTGACTTTATTTACAATCTTTATATATATATATATATATATATATGTATATATATATAAAGTTTACATTTCATCACTACTATTAATTTAGATTTTATTCCAAATGTGCAAAGTATATAGTCTGTTCAAAAGAAAACCACCGGCCACAGTGGTAAAACGTGAATTCAACAAAATTGCATGAACTGGTTCATGGAGTCGATAAAACTAAATATTTTATGGCCAAATGTTTTATTTACCAACATACATCTGATCCCCAACAGGGAAGCTGATGAGAGCCGCTTTAAACTCATCTTCAATATTACATTTTTACACCTAAAATTTAAATACGGCCGATATAAACTAGGTCGCTTCATTAATCACGTGACATCAGAAGCACATCTAAACAGCAAGAGCTCAACAGTATTTACATGCTGCATGATTTCAGAAGTTGATAGTAAACAAGAGTTGGGACTTTATTTATTTTTTATGTTTTCTTCTAGAAGGTAAAAACGTTCGTGGAGGCCAGATTGTGAGTTTCTCCAGCAAACCCTGTTGTGGGTGTGACAATGGACACACTGTGCTGCTCAGTCGGGCCTCCAGCTCTTCTTCGGTGTTGTGCCAAAGGTAAAATGGTCTCTGAGGAGCAGCGTGGGTGTCGCATGCCTGAAAACAAACTGCCTGGGATCGTTTTGGGAAAAATGGGGAGAAGAAATATGTTTTGCAGGCACAATTATTACAGCACTGTGTATTGTGTATAGTATTGTGAAGTAGTTTCGACTAAAGGAATTCTAAATATTCAGCTCTCTGAGACACGGGGGGAGCTGGGAGGTGACGCCGTGGCACTGAATTGATCAGGCAGCGCCTCGCTGAGGTGTTTGTGAGGGGAACATTTTAAAAGAAGAGACGCGGGAGGCAGACAGCGCTTCTGTGGCACCGAGGTGTGATTCCACTACGCCGTGTCATAGATTGCCATCACGTTTAATTATCTGGCTGGCTGCACTAACCCAAAGTGGTCGACCGGAGGGGCCATGTCCGTCATAACCAACCAACCAACCCCCCCCCCCGGCTAATATTTCCCTTCCCCTCGTCTGGTCGACTTCACTCGCAGCGCCTCCAGCTGACTTCCACGTTATTATTATTATGACTGGCTGGGCATTATTGTGCAGCGAGACCAATTCCTTTGTCTGCTTGTAGCTGCAGGGATGAAGCCTCATCACATTTCCTGCTGATGACTTTTTCGGCAGATAAACAGATTATGGAGCAGAATATAACTCTGATGTAATACACGGAGCTTCGGTCAGGACCGTTTATTTCGATTACCTGACAGCTGTGGCAATAGTGTTGGGGCTTTGAGGAATATTTAAAAAAAAAGAAATACTGTAGACAAAGAAAATTGTCCAATGAGAATCAGAAAACGCTCAATGTCAATTAAATTCCTAAACATTTTATTATTGCACATTCAATGAAAGGAAGTGCACCTGTGTTGGATTAATAAAGTCTCATTATTGAGAGTACAGCACCGGGCATGTGGAGTTGGTCAACATGACCTTCCAACCAGCCACTGGAGTGGTTTCCATCAATAATAAACCCACTGGTTTCCAAAACCAGCTAGAAAGCCCCCCTCCCCTTCCCCCCGGACCCTCAACCAACCCCCATAAACTACAAGCCACACCCCCCAGGAAAGAGTGAGAGATAAAGGGAGGGCAGGACAGCAGGATAAAGGCAGCGGATAACACACACTTAATCCTTTCTCTGCTCTCATTTAGGTCATGTGTCTGTCGGCCAATAAGCCGGCGTCCATTCGGGTCCGCCAGCATGTGGCCCACGGACCTCTCCGGCCCGATGGCATACGAGAGGCTCTGCAAAGATGGATGCCAGAACACAGAGATACTCTCCCCCAATCAGTGGCACGGCGGACAGCAGCACGAGGACAGTGGTGCGCCGCCGACCCCGATCGATCCGTACAGACGCGTTCAAAATCTATTCTCGCCCACGCCATCAACCCAAAGCATTGAATCCTAATTGTTGTCCTACCTCAAATCCGCGTCCCGGCACGCTCTCGCACGGAACGCAGTGCGCTCTCTTCGGGGGGGCGAATGAAGTGAGCCGAAGGGGGCGTACGATCGGCTGTCACTGGAGGATTAAGCCTCACTCGGGTGCTCGAGCCACGACACTCGGCCTACATGGGAGCAGATGTGGCGCTGCTTAAATTACACACTGTAGACCTAATGACCCAGATCGGGTGGGAGCGCTGGCCGGCTCTCAATCTCTTCAACGCCTTCGTGTTCTGGGGGTGAATCTGTGCTACTACGCCAGGGGGGGAGTATTTTCATACACACCACCCTGCGTTAAGTGGTCTAAAGAGACACTTGTTTTGAATGCGAGGTGTGAAATTGGAGTTTATTACGGAGCAAAACACAACGACGCGACTTTTCTTTCTTCAAGCAGCTACAAAGGACCTGAAGCTGCACTCCTCCCAACATCTCACGTGTGGCTTGAACTTTGTCTACTAAAATGGAGGTTCGCCAACTTTTGAGGGCTAAAAGACAGCATGCACGTCCCAGAGATTCTCCCGACCACGTGGCAGCTTCTCGCTTTCCTCAACCTCGCGGATCAAGAGATTAAAAACCTATTGGAGGGGGCGTCCGATTAAATGGGGGCCGATATGCTCTCTGGGCTTTCCCCTCCCTGGTTACAGCACCACACCAGGCATCAAACGAGAGGTGACGACGATGAGGAACAGAATCCAGCCCACTGTAGTGTTATTGCCATCATTCTTGTTCCAGACGTCAACTATTGTATATAAAAGTAGACTTCTCCCGCCTAAATAATGTTGGTAGGTGCAACAAATCTTCAAATCAGGAAACATTTATTAGCCAAAATATGCAAAGTATATTCAAAGTATTCTTGTTTACACGGTTTTCATATTAATGCCGGTTATTACACACGTTATCAGGATTAGGAGGGACAAACTGTCAATTCAATAAATAAAAACATTTTAGTGGCACACTGAAGAGAAGCACCGTCTCGCCCACTGATAAAATGTTATGGGCCCCTCAGTCTTTCAATGCACTGTTCAAAGATAAGGAGACAGCATTCATGGTCAAGTAATCACCAAACGATGAAGCCGTGCACGTCCATAAAAACGTGGTTAATCTAGATGAATTGTACCACGACAGTGTCAGTCTTCTTGCAGTAAAGATAGAATGCTGCTTTACGAGAGGAAACCACAGACCTCCAGAGGAAAGAGAAGCTCGCGGGGAATTACACAGATAGTGGCAGCCAATGGTCATGGACCTCCAACGATGATGTCATTACTGTAATAAGATCAGGCGGCTATTATTGACTCTAGTCCTGCAGAGTTTCCAGCCGGGCTGAATGAATATTTACACTAGCCTCCATCCATATGTAAAGAGCATAAGAAAATACCATCCTAATGAAGGGGCAGGAGAAGGAGATAAAGAGTGAAAACGTCAACAATCAAGAGATGTTCCCAAAGAATGAAAAAACAACAACATGTTTACTCCTTTCTAACCTGACTTCAGATCATGTAGCTAATTTACACAAGAGACAATTAACATTGTAACATTATACAAAACATGCCAAAGTTACTTAAATACGTAGAAACTATATTTAATCCTGCCAACAATTGCTCAATCAGAATGACGTGCCATTTGACGGAACATACCATGTATCTAAAATACAACTGCAATAAACATTGCGTCTGTTAGATTCCTGGAGAGCCGGTCGAATCAATGTTGAAAGAGCTATTTCAATGTGTATATTACTCAAATTGCACAGCACCTTTTAAAGACTACAGCTCACTGCAGCCTTAACTTAAATGTTAATAGTGCTGATATCAAAGCAAAAAGTAAAGAGTTGCTAGAGAAGAGTTGCCTTTGGCTACATATGGCACATAAACACTAGATCTTGTAAAATAAGTCGCATTGTTCTTTTACGATGATAATTCAAAGCTAAAAGGATGTTTTAGAAAAGCACCACAGAGGTTCTTGGGAGTCTTACAAGCCCCCTCCCTTAAACACACTATGAAGAACGAGGATGAGGTACAACGACACCTCCATGACCATTACAGGAATATTAATGTGATTTTGCCCCCCCCCACCCCCCCTCGGTGCTCTGCGATGCAGAAACTGTCCATCAGTGCGATTTAAAGCCCTGCCTGTGTGTGTCTGTGTGTGCGAGTGATGCCTGCCACGCTGACAGCCGATCAATCCGTTTACTGTTC